TTGAGGACACTAGCCATAGTCTTCCTAGTATGCTACACGCCCTTCATGAGTGGTTAGTAGTTTTGCATCTCTCAAACTATATCCCCCTCTTGCAGGGGGGGGGATTCGTTACTGGACATCAAATTCTGTTATGCTTAGTAGGGCTGGGAGCGGTTAGTTTTTCACTTTAACCGATAATTGATAACCGATATGTAACCGAAGATTAAAACATGAATCAATGAATCATTTTCAGGCAAAAGAGACATCCGTTTTTCGTGGAAAATCGATCCGAGTCGCGAAAAAAGTCTTTCGGCTGTCGCACTTGTAGCTGGTATAGCAAGATATCGGCGACCTAGCTTTCCGAGTCGTGGAAATTTGTTTTGGTGAGTCATTGGTTAATGACATCGGTTAAACATTTGCTTAACCGGTTAACCGGTTAACAACTTTTGACCGGTTAACCGGTTGACCGCTCCCAGCCCTAATGCTTAGCCGTTGATTTATTTCTTTATAGGGGGATATTAGTTATTAGGTACCTGAGGGGGATATAGTTAAAGAGATCTGTATTTTTACTAGGGGAAGTTTCAATAATAAATTTTTTTGTTTTTTTTTTCTAATTATTTTTTTAAAATATGTTCGAACTTCAAAAAATGATTTATTTCTTTTAGTGGTGCGGTTTTGAAGTATAATTTTCTCTTAATGGAAATATCGGTAGTCTAGGCTAACCATGATTCGTTCTGTATAAATTTACAAATTTTATTTTCGATTGATTTCAAAGCTCGCTATACTAATTCAATTAACAAATGGTGGGCAAATTTTGATCTCTGATAATAGTCGTGCAAATAACCTCCAAAAAAGCTTGATTAATAATTTCCAATTTGGCATTTTATAAATATTTTCTAGCGGAGTATAAGATTACTGATGAATCTCGAAATTTTTCCCTGGGTTAGTTTTAGGGAAAAAGTCTACAATAAAGTCTATAGTCTATAGAAGAGTAATTCAATGAAAGAATCGTATGCAGATTAAACGTATAACGCGGAACTGGGAAAGTTGAATAATCTCAATTAAAAAATAATTTATTCTCGACTTCTTGTTTCGAGCTCTGTGCTGTTTTTCAGTAGTTTTGTGGCTTTACTACTGTTATGATAAGTTCAAGAAAGGCTTCTAGGGATTCAAGTTTTAAATCAACTTCAAACTGCTTCAACCCTGATGCATTTTCAGGAAAATGCAACAAAGTTGTTTCAGGGACAAAAAATGGGCATGAATTTTTAAAATTTTCAGACTAAATTTAGTGAATTTTGGTGACAATGACAACTCGATTTTGATAACTCGTTTCGATTCCTTTTCAACGTTGTTAAGATTTACTTACATCTCCAACTGCCATTTTATACCCTGTTTATATGATTTTCCAGAAAAAAATACCATTGAATTGAATTGTCGAATTAAATTACTTTTTTCAACGGTTTTTGTTGAAAATTGTTATTTTTCTTTTAATTAAAAAAAAAATTTTTCCCTTTTTTTTTGAAGTTTTTTACTATAACATGGTAGAAATAACAAATTATGCATCTTGCACAATAACCGGGAGTTTTTCATAACATTGTTTTTCAAAAAAGTTGTTGGTCGGAATGATTTGTTTTGAAAGCACGCGAACGGACAGTTTTTTCAATCCGGCAAATTCACCAAGTGAAAAGGAACTATTTTTTGTCTAACTTATTATTGAAAGCTCACAGGAAATTTATAGGCAGTCAAGTGTGCTGCCATTTTAACCCTTCATAGTCATGCTTCGGATGTTTTTTTTTGAAAAAAAATCTGCTCAGCCTTGAAGACCAATATGAGGATAACATCCCGCATATAATAAAAGTGGAAAGAAATCAATTATAAAGGATTTTAGTGTGTGAAAAATTAAAAAATATAATGGATTTTCCTGTTGCCCTCAAGCAACAAAATGAATTAAAAACTTTGAATATAATTCATTGTTCCATCAAAATTAAAATTAATTATAATCTATTTAAAGTCAAATAAAATGAATTTTTGGACGTTAATTTGATTTTGCGTCGTGTAATTTTAATAAAATTTCAAAATTAATCAAATAAGGAATGCAGAGGTTTTGCTAAACGAGTGACGGGCCTTCTCGATTTCTAGATATACGCCCCAATTTGTAGGTTTAGAAAAATAATTTTTGAAATTTTTTGGAAGATTTTGACAAAAAAAAATGATTTTTCGGCGCGCAATCCCTGTCATTTTTAGTGTGTTTACGCATGCTTACATTAATCTTTACATACATACAAAATTATTTCTCTCCATAAACGTGCTTTTTAAAAAACGGCATAGATAATTACATACATTATATATACAGGCTTACTTTTATTCAATCGCTGTCTGCTTCTAACTTTTACCTCTCCCACTTCTAATTTTTCAGAATTTCAGATTAAGAATAAAGAAAAAAAAATTTTTTCGAAACTTTTTTAAATTTATTTTTCAACTGTTACTAAGTTCATAGCGTTCTGAACCTTATGTGCTAGTTTTTCAGCAACCGGCCATTTTCGCCACTCTTGTAAAAAGAAAAGTTTTTTGCTATACAATGATATTTTTGATTACATCGGTAATAACTCTGGTCACACTTAATTTAGTTCACGATGAATTCATTTTTTTTCACACAAGTGTAACCAAGCGTTTTCATGTGATATACCATGTCCATCAAGTTTTTGATCATGTCTATTTAATTTTGTGTAAAAAAGCCCTCAAAGTTGCAGGAGTTTTGATATCATGATTATAGTCAGTAATAGTTCATTGAATGTGTCAATGAAAGTTAAAACGAAAAAATTTTTTCTTTCACAACTGTTTAATTATAAAAAACTGTTTGAAATGGCAGGAAATAAGGAATGTAATGATATCATCAGTTAAGTCAAGGTGTGTTTGATTATGGGTGAAGGGATTTGACACTTCAAAGTGGCGGTGAACAACAGATCAATCACAAGAGAGAATATGCCCACCCAATTTGAACTATTATTTTTTAAAACTAATTTAGGATTTTGAAGCGGTCATCTATTAAGGTCAACTAATTTCTTAAAGTTGACAATTCTGATATATTTTTTCTAAGTATTTTTCAAAAAGTAGCGCTTCATTGTTTATTGGTCCCGATGGTTTTTTGAAAATAGTAATATTTAAAAAGAAAAATCCGCGATGTCGAATCGGTGGTAAGCCAACAAGCCAAAGGAGTTCATAAGATTCCCGCACCGGAGTTTCATGGATAATAAATGATTATATTGGAAAAATGTTGTATAAAATGTTGGCATTATAATCCAGTATTGTTTCAATTTTAGACCATTAAATCAAATATATTGTCATTGTAATGGATTATTTCAGTAAAAACACAAGTCTATTGAACTACATTATACTGAATTATATTCTCTAACTTTTTTGCAAAAGCATTTGCAACAACAAATTTTGAACCACTTCTGCATTATCACAGCCTACTTTTTTTTCTCCATGTTAAAGCCCCCCCCCATGTTCACCGCCTCAACGTGGTAGGGACTTGTAAGCGGTAGTGGTTGTAAACGGGGGGGGGGGGGGGGCGTTTGTCATAAATTTTTCCAGCCACGAAAAATTGTAATGACTTCTAGTTTCAGAATGGACTCTAATTTTCTGTATTCCGAGCGGAATAAAAAAATTGATCAATTTTCCTCTCACTGGGACAAATTTAAACAACAGTTTTTTTTCATCAAAGAGTTTCTACTTGATTTATGTTTATTTTTTAAAGATCAAATGTTCAAAAATTTTCCATCGTTTTCCTGTTTTCTTGAGTTTTTTCTATATTTTCAAAAATTTGTTGGTTATGCTTAGCTGTTTTTTTTGTTCAAAGCTGTTTTTCAACAATTCATACAAACTTCTAAGTAATCAGCCCCCCTTTTATTAACTAAGGGGAGAATTTTTATTAACTAACTGATTTAGGTGGAGGGGTACACCTTTACTTCAGGGATTCGACCCCGTCACCAACCAAAATGTCCCCCTTTTGGTGTTATTTTATGACATCCAATTTTGGCGACCAGCACGGAAACTTTTCTGAAGGTGCCTTTGGCTGCAACATATAATAAATTTGAAGGAAAACGCGCGCTGAAAAATGACATTTTTGACCTGCTTTCTCAAAAATTTTCTTGCAGTTCAGAAAATGTTGTCAAAACAGGGTCCTTATAAATACTTGAGAGAGATCGGAAAATCAGTTTGGTCAACCTAAAAAAATATATTTATTTTATAGAAATTTGAATTTTTTTTGAAAATGCCCCTCCCCTCGAGAAAATCCTAGATCCGCACCTGTTCTTATTTTATTTTTATAGTTGATAACAAAATTCGAGTCATGGCAACATTCTGTGCAATCGGATGTTTTTATTGTGAATAAAATTTTGAATTTTGATTTCAGTCCAAATTCTTTTCTACTTCGGTGAGCACATCATTCCAGACAGGAGCTACTGGCAGATCATGGTCTACGCAGCGTCGGCTTCTTTCGCCATTCGGCTAACTAAGAACGCGGTCGGGTTCTACGTCTATCTCACAACGAACGATTTGTTCAGACAGGAAGCAATCAAAATAGTGACGCGTGCAATCGGCCGACGAGCAGCTTCTGTCCGAAGAGACTCTTAGGCGAAAAAAAAACAACTAATTCTGAATTAGGATTATAGTTTTCGTTTTCTGAAACAATGCATACTTTTGATACAAGCGTAGTTAAAGCGCAAAAAGTTTTAATGCTTTATAACTGATTTCGAAATTTTTGTTGCAGTTCTTATATATAATAATGATCTTATTGAGCGAAAAAGTTATTTTTTGTATAGTTCAATTCGAATCACAAAGTATCAAATACAAGATCACTAAATTTCAGTTTAATGAAGTTCCATGGTTGAGACAAGTCAGAAACAAACTACCTATATTTTCAACCAAGAAAAGGTTGCGATCCTAAATTTAAACACTAAGTTTGATTGTCAAATTTCTTTAATTTGTTTTAACAGTGGGATCGCAACCTTGAAAAACGGTTACAAAATAGATTAAATTATGGCATATGTATAAGATTAAATGTGCGTAAATACATAACTTTCATTTCGTACAAAGATGAATGAGTACAATTCAACACATCTCCACAGGCCTCTAAGCCTTTCTGCAGGAATTTTCCATTAATTACGACACACAACATTACGTAATGATTACGTAGCACTAATCGGTAATGAGTTATATTCTTTTAAATTGGTTGATTTAGTTTTAATCAAAACTGTGCACAATTTTTTTACTGAGACAGAAGTATTGTAGTATCTTGCGAGAACCTATTTCCAGGAACTGCAAGGGTTCCAGAAGTTCTGGGATCTTCAGAAATGATGCAGTTGTTTAAATTCTGCGACACTCCCAAACCCACTGTTTGCCCAGTACTTATCGACTTCGGAGGAGTCTTTGTTCTCGACTCCTGACGCGGATCCCAACAGGCTTCTCGATTCCTCGAATGGACGCTCAGTAGTGCCTCCGAGGAATGAGGTTGCCGAGGTGCTGCTGCTTCCTGAGGATGAGAGTCCACTCGAGTGTCGGTTTTTGTCTTGCGAAGACGATGAAAAGTTGACTTCAATTTGGAGAGAACCAAAGTCGAAACTAAAATAATATTCAGAGTAATTACTGATTTTTTTCTTCGGATGATTTCAAAACGTTTTTGAATACAGTCAATTCAAGTAATCTAAGTTTTCCGAAATTTTCCAAAAATCAGCGCAAATCAGAAAAGAAATTTTTTAAATCTTCGAAAAGTATGTCAAATGTTTTTTAGCCTAACAGATATTTTCTAAGTGCTTGTCTAAATAACCGGCGTTGAATAATAAATTGAACAATTTACCTGGTGTTGTCTTCAGTGTTGAAAAAGGTGGAAGGCATAACGAGCGAAGAGGAAAAAGAATAATAAAAAATTAAAATCTGTGTTACGTGCCACTGTCACGGAGGTTTTTAAAAAGAGTATCTGACTTCTGAAATTTGAAACAAAAATAAAACCAAAAAACCTATAAACCTTACAAGAAAAAAATCAAAAAATCACGGAGCAAAATTGATTCAAATTTAACGTTGTTTCAAAAAAAGTTGATGTTTTATTTTCGGTCTTTAATTTGATGCTGTTAATATAGTAATGAAATTTTGTATTTTACAAAAGCCGAGGAGTGTTATAGGTTAATCTTTGGTCAACGATAGATTAATTACACCTTTCGATCATCAATTTGAAGTCAACTTTGGGCTGATAATCAATTTTGTTTGATGATAAGAAAAGCCTTCACGAAAGGCCAAATTTTCTGAACTGCTTTTAACCGAACTAACTCAAAGCCGAAAAAAGCCTTCTATCGATTGGCTTCTAGTGACTGGCTTTTAGTTTTACAAAAAAAAACAAAAAAAATCCAGTTTTTGTTTCAAAAAACAAGGGAGAGTTTTCTTCTAATGCTTAATCGCTCCTTTGAAAATTAAAAAAATTAGGATTCTGTTCGAAAATGAGACTCTTAAATACGAATGCAATTAGGTTTTTATATGTCGTGTAATCTCGGAATAGTTGTCTAAGTGATGAAAGCATTATGGTATCTTCGGTTACGTAGCAAAAATTATACATGCCATAAAGTAGACATTCCTTAAAGTAGACACATCGTAAGCCAATCAGAACAGAGAAAAGAAACTACTTCGTACGTTTGCTTTCTAATCTCAATTGTGATTGGCTTGCGACTTGTCTACTCTTTGACACTCGATTGTGATTGGCTTACAACTTCTCTACTTTATGACATGTCTACTTTTTGACCGCACTGCGGCATCTTCTCGCCTTTGAAAGATGGCAAATTGATCACATATTAAACTATCATTACGTAACCAGGTCAGAAAACCCCGTGACAAACGAACCCGACGGTGATTGGACCTTCAGGACATTGCAAGTTGCAATTAATGTAACTCATTATTAGCGGCCTCGATGGCTCCGAGTACATGTAAGCTAATTCAGTTCACAAAATACCTCTTAATGAGTTAACTATGAGTTCACAAATTATTGACAAAATTTACAAAGCAATCGAAGAAATTGGGTGTCACAATTTGTTAAATTTGATGGGTTGTTTAAATAAGAATTTAAAAAATGAATAACTATTTAGAACTGACCATCTGAAAATTGTATTCGGTCTCGATGTTCATGCCCTATGAAAACTCGTACGTAAAGATGTTGTGTGAGAGGGTGGTTTTCGCAAGAGGGGATGGGGGAGGGGTTTCTTGGTTGACGAAATTGATTTTCCGAGCACCTCCAAAACCGTATAAGGACCCGGACCAAGTTAAGACCCTCAAGTTAAAAACCAAAAGTTTGTTAGTAACAAACTCTTGCGCAGAATCGCTCCGCTGGGCTCTAATTCGACACTCGTGGTGAGCCTGAATCCATCTCTGTTTCCAAGCTATTCGGGATTATTCTTTTTGGTGTTTTCACCTTATAAGGAAAATAAGACTTTAATTTTTTCTTTGTTTTAGAAAACTTTTTAAAAGTTTCAATTCAACCACGTTAATTTTCAGGGCTCTCCCAAAAACTTTTGAAAAATGACCGGGGTTTTTTTTATTTCTATAAAAATTTTCAAAACAATCTCCCCCCTAAAAACGAATCAGCTTTGGTGCCAAATATTTTTGCGATGAAATCCTTGTCAAGACCAAAAAAATTAAAAGCTGTTTATCTAAGAACAAATGGTTAACACATGAACTTTTCACGGCGAACTACTGTAAATAAGCCGGTTACAAGGCATTCGCTAGTATCACACTCAGCCATCAAGTGTGCAGAAAACAGGAGCCTCGTAACTTCAACGTCCCGTCCGAGGTAGGATACTTCAAGCGCGTCAACATATCGCTCTCTTTCGTCGACGCAAATTAAAATACTTTATTTTGCTAAACTGAAAAAAAAATCAGTTCTGAAAGCCGGCATTGACGATTTTTGTAGTGTGTTTTAGCCTTACTTCAAGTGTGTGAGCAAAAAAGGACACTGCTGAGCACTATAAAAACGCAAGACGCAAAAAAGTTTTCCATTGGATTCTGGTGCAATAACGGCCGATTTAATCTGGACAAACAAACTCCTTCTCTCGAGAAATGACCCAAACAATTGAAAAAACAACCGCTGAATCGTGGGCAGAGCATGATGAGTTATATCCTTTTGGGTATACTCATAGAGTAATTTCAGATAAGGTACACCGTCTGCTCGTCACGCTATCTTATTTTCGGCTGGATAGACTCGTGCAACTTCTTTGTCTAACACCGATCTTCATCTTACTCTTATATCTCCTAGTCTCAATAGATCTTGTGTACACCGGTTTTTGCGGGTTAGTTCCAGAATGAGAACAACTGTATTCTAAGCTTAGTTCAAATTGTTCTGGTGTTGATACTACTTGAAACTACTTAATTCAAATTGTTCTGGTGTTGTGGGTAGTTAGTTTGATTGAGTATGATTGGTTAGTATTCAATATTTTATAGAGATAAAATATCAGGATAATAACCAATAATAAAGACTAGTTTAGATCTGGTTCCACCCATCCGGGGTTTAGCGAGTCTTAGTTCTTCAGTGTTCTATTGTAGTGGAGGATGGATGATGGTCTCTTTCTTTTAGAAGTTGCGAGCATGTTCTTTTTTCTGATTTGGAAGAAGAGTTGTTATCACGATCGTTTTGGAGATCGTACCATGATTTCTGATCGGTTGTGATGAGTGATGATTTGATTGATAGGAACATTACTATTCTCATTCTCGTACGGAAATGGCATGTAGTTCGACTTGGGATGAAGTGCCTGGTGACTTGGATCTGTACGTATACTTGAACACTGAGGTGGCCATTGTTCGGTTGCAATGGGTTTCCTTTGCTGCGATGCCAAGTCGTACTTTAATTCCGTTGAGTGTAGTGACTGTAGGCAGCATGTCAGGTGTGTCTTGCCATTCCGTAGTTAGAGTAAGATTGGGTTGTCAAGTTCCTTACTGCTCGTCTTTGGGCTGTATGTTATCTATATACTGCATTGTATTATTTACATATATAAGTCTTTGTTAATTTTGTTTTTTCTTATGATCGTGTATTAATTTTTATCGCAAAGCGTTCTTGTTTAGTTCGATTATTTTTAAGAGCTGCTTACCCATGAGTAACTCTCGTCAAAAATAGAGGGTATTGTCACAAAGCGTGGATGTAGCACGGTGGGTTAGAGCGGCTATAGAGCAAGCTCAGGACATCCTCTCTGGTGGGTTAAGCCATGAGTGGGAGTATAAATTCATGCTCTGTTTTTGGAGGGTCCTGTTTGGTTTCAATCTTTCATGCCTTTTTTATTACTGGTTTCTTCCTTTTTTGTCCTGGTTGAGTCTTTTTCTCAAAAATCAAATTGTTTGTTTTGGGTTTGTCTTCCGACTTTTTGGTGTTTTGTTCTTTTGTGTTCAGACTTGAAAATAGTCTTCAAAAGAATAATTTATCCAGCTCTAAGCTGGTGTTAATCCAGTTTGGGTACCGTGGGTTTTATTTTCTCAGTCATGCTGTTAGGTTGTGGTTTGTGGTGTTTAGTAAGCTAGCGTTGGTTAGTTTGGATTATTATATAATTCCTTTCCAACCGGGTCAAAGGAAAGTTTGAAACGTGTTAAAACTGGTTAGAGTTGTTATCAGTGAAAGTTAAAACTTAAATTCATTATTTCAAACAAATTTTTGTGGGCGAGCAGTGCGATTGTGGATAGAATTGTGGGCGAGTGAAAATTTTAAACTATGAAGAAACGTCTTTGAAAAGGTTAGTACTGTTTTAATTTTATAGGCAACTTTTTTTAATTTACTACTTTGAAATTATTAATTTTTTTGCTTAATTTAGTGGGTTGAAAATATCAACTGATTTTCATTGTAAGAATATTTACTGCATATGGGAAAAGAATTTATATATAATTTTACTGCTGTTTTGGGGGTAAATTTTATTGCTCAATTTGTTGAAATTGTTTAATATAAACTTATGATTCTAGAAAAAAGTTTTCTGTTTTATATTTCGATTTTATTTTTTGTAGATGATTGATGATTGTGCTTGTGAAGACTATTAAAAAAGAGAAAACATTTATAAAGAATGATTAGTTTTTGTTCGAATTTAGCAATCAAATGATGTTAGTAATTTAGCTATCAAACGGATGATATATTTAGTTTGAAGAATTGGCCGAAGCAATTTGAGTGCTTTAATGATGTTGTGCTCATCAGTGCTAGGTGAGAGTTCATAAGGTGTATTTTGAATGATATTATAAAGTTTGTAATTATATCTGGTGTTATGGATGAATTCTAGGATCGGTATTTCAACGGACTGTAGAAATTTGTGTGGGACTATTAGTGAGCGAGATTTGCCTATGTTGAAGATTTTAGATAAGGGACAGAACATATACTTCTGGGTGATGGGATCACAATTGCGGAGGATGCCATGTTGATTAGTGTCTTTAATACAAAAAGGGAAGTTAAGAAATAATGGTGAAGGGTGTTTAGGGTTAATGTATTGATATCTGTGGTGAATTTGTCGTGCTGGTGTTTTTTGAGTGTAATGATGTTGAATGAACTTATAGTAAGTATAAGTGTGTGTTTGTATAATTTGTAACTTGACGTCGTGTGAACAGTGAAAATCACGTTCTTTGGGTGCGAGGAAATGAAAGGTTAGTGAAAAATGATTAAATTTGTTGAAATATGAATCATAAGCTTGAATATTGCGAAGTGCTGTTGAAATAATTTGGTCGCATTTTTTATCTAAAGTATTAAGGGTGAAAACGTATGGTGGGTTAATGAAGAATTTTTCTGTTAGTTGTGGTTTACCATATTTGTTGTCATTCCTAAAGATGTCTTCGTTGGGTCTTATGGTGTTATGGTTGTAGTGATCGATGAAATATTCGTTTGCTTTGGCTGCGGTGAATCTGATAAGTGATTGTTCATATCAAATTTGTGTAAATTGTTTTTGTAGTGAGTGCTGTTGTTGAAAGGTAGAGTTGATTGCTGCATTGTTCGATATCATATGGGGTGTTATATAATGGTAGTGATAGTGGATTAGTGAAGTGATAAAATGATGTCCATGAAAGTGTTGGATATAATACGTGCTCATTAACATAATTAGGATTTTCGTCGTTTGGGACTGAATGAAAGTAGGTGTATTGAGGGAAAAAGCATAAACATATTTGGAAAAATTCTCAAGTGTTATCATGAAGTGGGTGATTAACAAATGTTGTGGATGTTCCTGGGTAAGAGGGACATGGACCGTTGCA